GGAATATACCGTCAAGTTCACTGCTGGTCAAAATAGAGTCATGTAAATCAGGACTGTTGTCATCCTTGAGTCCTCCAATTTGGGTGAGGAGAGTTGAAAGTGTTTCTTGTTCTTCATGGTCATTCACTTCAAGCCACTTCATGAATCCACTCCAGAGAATGTCCATAGATGCTTCATACATGAGATTGTGAAGACGAGAACTGCATTCACAGATTATTCGGCGATGACCTCTGCTTCTATACAGATGTCACGCAATCCAGCATCTCCAAAGCATTTCCCAATAATTGCAAGAAAATTGCAGATGGTATGAAAAACTCCCAAGTCTGAGGACAATGCTGTGAAACTTGTTTTCATGTTTCCATGCACTTCTACAACCTTTGCGTACATTTCTTGATCAAACACTTGGCAAAGAACTTCATGTACAGTTGACATTGATGTTGATGTTGCTGGGGCATCAATAGTTGGTAAATAGCCAATGTTATCTTTGACTCTTTCCGTACTTCTGTGTGGAAACCCGTCCAACTCACTACTGTTTGGTTTGATGGATCAAATTGACGAGCAGTGCTCCAGATTATGTTCTTCAGTTTGTCAAGATGAACTGTACTTTCAAGATCAACATTAACCCTCTTTAATTTCAGTGGGTTAGGTCATTCCCCAGCATTGTATGAAGGAAGTGTGTATGGTTCAACTTGTAAACATCGCCTTTTTGACATTTGGTTTTGCGTGATAACAACTTCTTGTGGGCCAGTCATTACTTTTTGTACAGCAATTCCATTCACTCTGTGTTGTGCCTTCTCTGCTGAGGGTATCCTCCAGCCTGTCAATGTTGTCAAAGATAAGGGTTGTACATGAGGATGGATAAATTCTGGCAATATGATTCCCTGCTCTGACAGCTTCATCAGCTACTGTTGGGCAAGTGCTGTATCAAGTTCCAGCAATTTGGAGTAGGAAAGTCCATGACCAAAGCGGTTGATTATCTTGATGAGTTCCACATTGCCTGTGAGGGATTTGAAGTAGAAGCCATTGGTAGAAGCGTGTGTTTTGAGGTCATGTATTCTCCCTGATTTACATTGTAGAGAAGATCTTGGCTAAATGAGGTGATGAGGTGTTGACCTCTAGTGAGTTTCCATCGATACCTCCTGTCAACTAACAGCTCAGGAAATGTAATTGGTTCATTTGTTTTTGCATTCAGATAATATTTTTTTTTTTTTAAGTTCATAGGTGAAAAGTTGAAAAATAAACCAGCTTGCTTTCAATAATCATTTAAAGTGATTTTGGGTTGATATTGTCACTCTCAGTAAGGTTTATAAGCATTTTGAGAAAATTGGATGCATTTTAGGTGCATGTGCACTAAGGTGTACTACAGTAATATGCTGAATTTTTTAGTGGTCTATCATGCCAGAATCTGTTTCCATAAGGATAAGCTACATAAAAACATAATGAGAGTTGGCACCGTTGGGTGGTACCGACCATCCTACTTGGCCCATGTACTTCCAGTGAGAAGGATGTAAATCTCTGCTGGAGTTGTGCCCTCCAAAGTTACTAAGGAAGCATGGTGACAATAGACAAAGTATAGATGGACAACATTTCAGACATTTCAGAAGTTGTCTAGTACATGGACTACATCACAATTCATAGGATAGTAAGTCCCAGTGGACAGATTTACATGGAATTACTATGCCAATGATAGTCACAGGACCAACAACAACATTAATATTTTCATGATGGTCTAACCTGGCTTTGTTCCACAAGTTGCTTTCCTTGTTGCTGGTTGTAAATATTAATTACCTTCCTTATCTTCCTTCCTCCGAGGTTTTCATTTTGACTTGGAATGTTTGGCAAACTTACTGCAACTGTTAGAGATGGCAACAAGATAGGCCCTTCAATGTGCAGTGTACAACAGGACCTGAGCTGTGGATAATTTCCTCTACAAAGTCAGCTAACCCTACTTACCTGTGTGGGTAATGGTCACAGGTTGGTATAAGTGGGACCATCAAGTGGTATGAGAGGAAGACAAAGTACAATGAGAGCATCACACAATGTCTCATGTTTCTCGTCGCTAATGAAACAGGCACAAGTTATCATCTCCCTCACAACTAAGATCAATTGCCACAGCCACAAAGTTCTTCAAGGAGGGATGTCAATGCCTGTGAGATCTCAGGTTTTATTGAAGGGAGATTTTTGAGGGCAGCTCCAGTCCATACCTTTGCTTGAACAGTTTAGTTAAGTCTTTGAGAATAAGTTTGAGCCATAGAATAACAATAAGATTCTCCAGTGTAGGTGTTAGGTCTTCTTCTTTCACTTGTTCAACCCCATGGTGAGATATTCCCCCATTCTGGCAGAGCAAGTTGTCGTCAAAGCTGATAGACGCTGTAACAAATCCTCAGGGCATTCATTCGGTTGCAGATGAATGTGACAATGGTCAAGAAAATGACCTCCTGTCAAATTGAACCCAAAGTGAAGGCGAATAACTTGCCATATATTTGTCACTGAAGTGCTGTTTTTGACATTCGTGTTTCCTAAAATAATCTGACAATAATTTGTTATTTGACATAACAACAACTCCAGCATGCTGACCTTTTCTTGAGCCATCTGCTGTTATTGCCAAGGCACATCTTCACCATTATCCTCAAATCCCTGCAAGGGGTTGTTAACAGAACGTTTCAGCCAAGTGATATGAAGTTTTGTCTCCAGTGGTCGAATGTATTAATTGTTTCTGTTTTAGACAGACACCATTGCTTGGGAGCACGATGTGTTTGAGCCATAATGATCAGATGTGTATGATATGTCAATAATCATCCACTATTTGAATGCCTAGTCTGTCACAAATGTATGTGAAAGTCAACACGTTCCGGATATATGGTGGTCTTGGTGGAGTCTCCAGTAATCCTGCTGCCACCAGGCCAGGGTGAGACACAAACCAGTGATTATATTTTTACTGTTTATTGTTGGAGGAAAAACAAACATGTCGTGTCAATATGAGACAATAGATAAATTGCGACCAGAAATGGTGCAGGTGTTAACAGACAGACAACTAACATCAACCAAACAAGCCTCTACTGGCGCACAATCAAGTCATGACAGAAGTACACTCAAACCACATAGATACCATTGGCCACCATACCAGAGGAAAGTATCTGGTTTCATTTACCATCTGTCATCAGAGTAACAACTGTTATGTCCCACCCACCAGAAGATCAGTACCAATTCGACTGAGGGGGATGGATCTGGCGCAACCCGAGCTCAGGCTCCGGGATCATTCCGACCTATGGGCGACCTGATCCAAGCCTTTGCTCCGGTGATGGTTTGACCCTCGCTCCGACCCAGACTTCGACCTCATCGACTCAGGTCTCAACCTGTTGTTGGCTGGCGCCACGGCCGAGAGGCGACCAATAAACAGTTAATGGTCGGACAACCAAGTATCTTGGAGCCAAACCGGGCTACTGGGGAATCCTGCTTCAGCAGGTTCTTCCCTGCCACCTCGACACTTCAGCTGGTCCGTAACACGGTACAGCAGCTAAGGGTGGTGGTCCGTTCAGCCTATCCCTCTGCCCTGTAGGGAGAACTGGTGGACCAGGGTATGAGCGGTGATGATTCGTCATCACCTACTGTGCGGCAGTTGACTGACGTGCATTCTCACCTGGCTTGGGACAGCATTCGTACCTGTGCCCACCAGATGATGTACACCGTCATGGCCTGCGTTGGTTGTGGCTGTCAGTAGCACGCTCTCGCCAGCAACTTAGCAGGCAATACTTTCATTGCTCTACAAGATGGGTTGTACCCTCTTCACTGGGGCTCTCAAAGTAGTCCGAGAGGCTGCGGAGGCGGTCAGTAAGACTACAAACCCTTACTGGAGCATCCCTCTACATCTTGCCAGCGGTCCTCAGTTCTTGCCGCTTATCCTTGGGAGCCGGCGAAAGAGTCTGAAAAATGGACTGTTCCATTGCAGACTAAGAAAGGCAGGTAAGGGAAGCCTACCCCGGCTTCCTGCTAAATATCCCTCGGGCGCCCTTGGTCAATCACACACAAGCAAACATTGTTTTGCCAACTGTGGGAGTTCACTGCCTATAGCCAGACATCCCTGTCGTCGGCTGTCTGTCCAGGGATTGGGAGAAAGCCATCTCAAATCCCTGGATCCTGTCCACGCTCAGGGATGGCCACATGCCACAGTGGAAGTGAAGACCACCCTCCTTTTCCAGAGTGCGTCACACACTAGTGCCAGTTTCTCGAGAAAAGATGGACATTCTCCCCGCCAAGGTCTAGTCATTGCTGGACAAGGCAGCCATTGAGATGGTTCCAAACGGTCAGGAAAACAAGGGTTTCTATTCCACTTACTTCCTTGTGACCAAAAAGGACAGAGGGTTCAGATCCATTCTAATTTTAATAGGGCTGAACAACATGTCTTTCAGGATGGAGACACTGAGCTCAATGATCTCATCCGTAGAGGCTTGGCTCATGCCAATCGACCTCAACGATGCATGCCTCTGTTGGAAAGAAGTGAGGTCTTTCCTGTTTACTGCCTAGCTCATTGGCAGAAGTTCTGGGTGGAGGAAATCTATTATCCACACAACTAATTATGGTAAAACAGCTGACAGGAGTTAGGAATGAATTTAAGGAAAAAAATAAGATCTTAAAGGACGGTCACAATCTATCTGTCTAGTTGCATTTCAAAGGGGTTAATCAGGAAATTGCTGTTGTCATGGTCTCCGCTTTTACATGCAAATGCACACATTATGAAAGAGGATGGCTTCCTCATCTTATACTATAATAGAAGAGATGCTTTAAAGTGCTTTGACATGACTGAATATCCAATGTCTAAAATTCAGAATTCTTCTGACATGTTCAGAGATGTGTGCTTTGAGTTAAGTTAAAGTGCCTTAAGGTCAAAATTTTGTTTTAGGCATTCGGGAAATATGATTGATGGATTCACCTTCCTAGCTGATTGCCACTGAACATCGACCGATAATTTCACTTCATGCTATCACTGATGTGTGTTGCAGTATGTGTGTGCCTGAGTGGTCAACATGAGACTGTCCTGTGAGGTGGATGTCATCAACAGATTGCTACCCTCACACAATGTCCGTAAGGCCAGAAGAGGGAGTCACGCCCAGGTGTCCCTTGGACGTAAACCGTCAGCCTCTCGATGTAGCAGTCAACTGTTCCTTATGGTGTGTACTGCCAAAGACAGGAATGGTGTAAAGTATGTGGTAAGTATTGCTCAAATGTGAAAGGCATGGTTTCTTTTTATAAATTTGTTTAATTTTACATTTATGTTACCGGGGTATATAAGCTTTTTCAATCAATATGGAAAAGTGCAATAACATTTTAAAAATTTACAAGCATTTGCTGTACAGGCTGAAGGTGAAGTTTAACTGGTACAAAAGGATCACATGAGAAGTTTGAGAGGTCATTTTCCAAGGAAGTGAATGGTCAATTTCTAGCAGGAGAGTGTCAATCAGTTGATTGACAGTTCGTCACATGACCCATTGTACTCTACAGAGCTTAACAGAATAATAATCAAAATTCACCTTCAGCATGTTCAGTAAGTTGTTGTTTTTGTTAATCCTCAAAATTACGTGAGACTTCAAAGCTTGACCATGACTGATGGAATACAAAGAACCAAACAATTTGTTCCAACATATGAATCTAATTGGAATTCTTTTCACTTATCTTGTCACAGGATCTATCCCCCATGTTTTAACCCATATATGCATAGGGTCTTAGACTTTCATCAAATTTGTGAGCTTGTTTCTTTTGCCAAGCAATGAAAGGAATGGTGCTCATTTTACCAGAATGTTTGTATCAAATAACATTCTACTACCCCTTATTTACTTTACCTGTTGTTTCTGATGAAGACGAATACTTGGCGAGAATGTCACCACGTTTGTTGGCGATGTCAGCTCTATCAGTTCCTTCAAATGGTGAACGGTAGATCTGCTACCTCTGCCCTTTATTCCTTGTACCACACCTTTGAAATCGGTGTGCATGAATTTATTTTGGAAACATAATTTCTCCAAAAATGACGCATATTCTGTTTCATTGCGCATCGAGCCTTGGCATTTTAGATTTTAACTTTATTCAAATTATGCACAGTAGGATGTCGTCGAAACTACTTTTCGGATTTCTTCCTACAATATCTGGCCTGTTTGCATTCATTATTGAACCATGGTTTCGGAATATCTAGATATGCAGAGGACTGTGGAATTGTTTTATCAGCAATGTTATTCACAGGGTGGAAGCGCTGTCCACACGAAATGTGGAGTTGCCCCCAAAGCAACTCCATTTCCTCGCTGGACAGTGAAAAAAGAACACATGGCGTAAGAGTTATGGTAAGTTTTCCCTCGCACTTTCATTCATTTGCAAGCATATCAGGTTTGGCCATTTGGCAGAAGAATCTAGAAAGTTATAGATCTGTCTGTAATAGCTTGACACCCTCTCTATTTATTACAATTGCGCATTAGGCGAGGGCACCCTCGTGACTGTCGAAAGAAAATGATCGTTTCAACATGAAATATGACATACTCATCAGCAGACACACTTTTTTTTGCTGTCAGTTCTTAGATATAGTGATTTTAGGTCTTCATTCACAGTTTAGGCATTAATGCATCGGTAATTTTTCAGTTATCGTCATTAAATCAAACTGTACATTTTACATGGAGTTGTTTTGAAACTGTCCATTGCTTTGAATGTTTACATTGAAGTAACTGTCCATGTAGTTACATGGATTTTAGTAGCTAAGATACATAGCGTTCACATGTCAGTGAATGCTATATGTATCTAGCTAGGATTTTAGAGCATTAACTGTTGAAATCCCAGTTTTGGATACCCTTTTCCACAGACTTGGCAATGGAAACGGTAGTTCTTGTGAAGGATCCCTTTAACATGCAGTCTGAGGCCAAATGAAGACTTGTAGAACTTGCTGCATATGTGGCAGCGGTCAAACCGAAACATGAACCAATTCAGACAATGACCTACTTTTCATCCGATCTGAATTTTCTCGTGTGAAAGTGAAAACAGACAATATAGACAACTATGGTTACACTAAATTCCAATTCCTTATTTCATAAGAAATTGGTATTTACAAAAGAACTTTAATAAACTCGTATTTCTATATTTTATGGCTAGGTTTAGGCAGCTAAGACATCACAGACTGCCCCTGTTTCATAAGGTCGTAAAAATGTTTCATAATTCATCTGGCTAACTGGTTACACATGTTATGTGTTCTTTAGGCTTATTATGTGTATTTTTGTAAAGCACATTGTGATTGATATAATATCAAGTCTGTACAAGACCGCCAAACTTTTCTCGCAGCCGAACCTCGTTTTGAGATTTCCACGATTTCCAGATTTCCGTTTGTCAGAGCACGTTGTACGACAGAGTACGGATTAGAAGGAGAGCAGTGTCCAATATACAAGTGATTAGATGTATCAAATAATACTGATTAATATTTATATATCCAGTTGAATGAGTTGGTCTCAAAATTCTGAACTGGTTATTGTACTAAGTTGCGCAATAGGAAACGAGACTATTGGGAAATCAATGTTTTGACTGTCTCCATCCTGTTTCTTCTTCTTCTTTTTTTGGTGTGCTTGAAAACAAACGACTGGTATTGAAGGATATATGCTCGTCCAGGGGTTCAAATTCATTTCCTGAAACCTTAAACATATCAAACTAATGCATATATACTAGGCACATAAAGAAACTGTGCTTACAAAAATTTAAAATCTAAATTTATCAAACCTGTGTTAGACACATAAGGATTTAAACTCAGAGATTAGTGACATGTATCCAACATGCATGCACGTGCCACGTCCCGTGATGTCAGTGGGTTCGTCCTTGAGACGTGCAATACGTTGTTTCACGTGCATTCCGGGAAAGAGAAACAGAGCAAATGAATGCCACACAATACTGTAACTTTGGAAAGCTCAACCCCTGCCCTTGCGATCGTTCAAAAAATTAAACGGCTATTGAAACGCTTAGCATGCCAAGGCTCACGTCTGCACAACGTCATGAGGCCATTGGGATGGTCTGTGGGGGAATGTCTCAACGACAAGTGGCTGCACATTTCCACTGCCACCGGAACATCATTTCTGCACTGGTGAGACGCTACCAGATCACAAATGACGTCCTCGATTGGCCACTTTATGGACGTCCACGTTTAACAACGCCAAGACAGGACAGATGGATATGGGTGACCCATCTTCGCCACAGGTTTCAGACTGCAGTGATGACTGCCCGAACCATCCCAGGACTTCGCCGTATCCATCCCAAAAGACAGTTCGACAACGTTTACGTCATCACGGGATCAGACCACGACGTCCCGCCATACGGCCTATCCTGACACAACGTCATCGACAAGCTCGCCAAATGTGGTGCCGAAATCATGTCCGCAGACCCTTGTTTTGGTGGAGAAATGTTGTTTTTACAGATGAGTCCAGGTTTAACATTTCCCATAGTGATGGACGTCAATGTGCCTATAGACGCGTGGGAGAACGTTATGCAAAGGCCTGTGTCTTGGAGAGGAATTGCTTTGGTGGTGGTTCCGTGATGATTTGGGGTGGAATAACAGCACGCCAAAGAACTCCTTTGGTGATTGTTCAGGGCAACTTAACTGGTGTGGGCTACAGGGATCAGATTCTTCGACCTGTGGCAATTCCTTTTCTGCAATGTCAAGGCCCTGGGTTAACATGCCAACAGGACAATGCCCGCCCTCATACGGCAAGGGTTGCTATGGATTTCTTGCAACACCACAATGTTGACTTACTGCCTTGGCCTGCAAATTCACCGGATCTCTCCCCGATAGAGCATGTTTGGGACGAGATGGAACGACGTCTACGCCGTCTTCCTCATCCGCCAGACAACGTCCTTGACCTTGCATCAGACCTTGAGAGAATCTGGCGTGACATCCCACAAGCCTTCCTTGCACGTTTGATAGGCTCTATGCGTCGTCGATGCACTGCTGTTCTCAATGCAGATGGTGGACATACCCATTATTGAGCTTGTGACATGGTCGTTTGACCCCTGTCCCGCTTGTGGACTCGTGACGTCATTGTGATTGACTTTTCAATTGAAATTCTCCCGACTAGTTATGGTCTCATGATCCCTCCATTAAAGTTTATATGTACCTTTGACATTGTTATCGTACTTATCAACTGGGATAATATTTTGACAATGCACAGTTTCTTTATGTGGCTAGTATATTAACCACAAACTATGTACAATAACAGACCTGCCTACCCCCTTTGTCTGCAAAGTGTACTCATGGTGGTTTGAAAGTGTATTTTGAAGTGACAAAAGTGTACATTTTTATGTATTTTTATCTTATTTTATAAGAAAGAAAATTTGACACATTCCTGAATGCCAGAATGGTGTTTATCAATCAACTTCAGCACAGATTTGACTGTCTTTTTAAGGTCTGCAGATAAGATCGGCAAGTTCATTTTCTCATTAAATTGTGCCATATGGATTTCTCCTTTATTTTTTTTACAACTGCCATTGACTTGTCCATATCGCTGTTGGTGCCACCGGTGGGAACAAAGGAAGTCTTATTGTATTTGATTTCACACATTTCACATTGGTTAGATGTCCCTTGGTTTTCAGATGCTTAGTGATGTGCTTTACTCGAATGTGCAATACTAATGTCTGAATGATAGTATGAACAATGTACATACTTTGGAATAACCTGGTCTTGGTTATTCCTGGGGTAGATGTATATTTGTATATTTGTTAATACACTTTTGATCATACATGATTTTGTAAAATGTTTGAATCCTGGCCCATATGAGCCCGACGAACGCTGGTGCCACTGGTTGGGAAGCAATCAGATAAGATAGGTAGAAACTGGGAAAATATGAGGGATCCCGACGATAAAGACCGCAAAAATTAGCCAATCAGGTTACTTTGTATTTTCACGACATCTACCGAAGTACTTGATCTATATCTATCATCAATGAACAGACATTACGGTCACGATTTTAAATAAATTACTTTCTGTTATACGCACGAAAGTGACTTCAAAGGGAGGTCACTCTTGTTTCGCTTCATTTTCATGTCGTGTGTACACTGGCAAGTACAGTTGAAGTGAAACGAATGCATGTTCTTTTAAGACAAATTAATATGTTTTTATAGGTTTGCATCTAATAAATCCCAGACAGGGTACAAACTGCAATAAGGGTGTACAATGGTACTTGAAGATAAAAAATCGTAA